CGGCGTAATTGTTGGTTTACGTTACATTAAATCGCCGACGTTACATTTTTAAGAAGTTTACGATAACTTTACGGCTTCAGAATTTTGTGGCACAACTTAGGAAACATTGTTATAATTGAAGGAATAATCATGAAATGACAAATTCGTGCCGAAAATGCCGGCATGGCTTACTGAATTCTTAATTGCATGAAATGTTCTGACAATAGTCAGAAATGTACAAAAAAATGTCATGGTCTCTCTACGCTTGAAGACAAATTTGTTGAGTTACCTGATCTAAAACTCTACATCCTCATTGGTTCTCGTAAGCAATTCAATAAGAAAAATAGTGCCGTGTGCCGTTGACTTAAATCCTGATTGGCTCTCGTAAGAAATCCAGTAGGAAAAATGGTATCGTGTGCTGTTGGCTTGTTCAGTTTTTTCGCGTTTAAGGGCTGTCGCATGTTAACAGTAACTGTAAAGGCCGAATCAGACTAGCAATTGCTGATTCGGATTGGATTGAGATTGGCGATTGTCCTCTAGCCAATGAGAGTCGATTGAATCGCTGACTACTCTGCTCTCATTGGCTAGAAGACAATCGCCAATCCCAATCCAATCTGCGTCGGCAATTGCTAGTCTGATTCAGCCATAAAAGTTTGACCAAACGTTGCTCGATTCGGTAGTCCGTAAACAAATCAAGCGATACGATTGGTCAAAATCTTACGGTTACTGTTACGGAAATTTGTGTGTGGCTGCCCTTGCCGCTTCTCATACGCTCATTCACCCAAACTTTGGTTATTACCCAACAAACTATTGCAAATTTTACAGTGACTTTCTTTTCAAATTAATCTATCTTTATCTTTTCCTTGTTCACTTTTCCGTCAGACATCCTGTATACATTACAGCATTTATAAGCATAATAACTAAAATGTAACACGAAATACAGATGCGTTTGCACTTTTAATTTGTGCAGTATGATTTCCGTAAAAGAAATATATTATGAAATGTTAATTTTTATAAACATAAATACTGAAATCAAATAAATAATAAACTATATCCATCGGAGCAGAAAATTAAAACGCAGCCGCGTATTAACGGAGTGAAAATTGTGGAGGTGTACCGGAGGAGTGTCCAGTCACGCTATGGAAATTATGACGTATTACACGATTGCCTTTTCAACGTTGCACGCAGCCTGCTCATGCCGTGACTAATAAGTAGACATAACACAATTTAACGCGCATTAAGACGGCTTTATGTACACGGCAGTGAAAAGAATTTGAACGATGTGATTCGGAAACAGCTACTTCACTCGCGACATGACGTGAATTACTTTACCTAGAAAATTGTTTGTAAATTAAATTCAAATAACATTTTTCTTATTACAAAATCGTGCGTGCGATGAGCGTTTGACAATATTTTCCAAAATATTTTAAATATGTCAAACTGATTTTGGAGAATTTATGGAATTTTAAAGGAACATACACATATGCTAATAAACCACATCAATAAGTACATAGGAGAGAGGTGCCATTACTAACAATAAGGTATTTCATGTTACATTTTTCTTTTTATACTAATTTGCATATAAGCCAATGATTTAAAGACTTACTTTGTGACGGTATTTAAAATAATAAATTGAGAGAGAAGATAACATAACAACAGCATAATAAGTTTCACAAAAATATCGATTTAAGTTTTATAATAACTGTAATGCATAAGATAAGTGTAAGAAATGTTTTACGATAAATTTCATAGAAATATTAAAATTGCGCCAAAATTGTTAGATTAATCCGCTAAGAAATAAAATGATTGAAAAAAATGTACTTGCTAGATATACAGGTTTAAAAAAGCAGCCTTTAGAATATTGATTCAAAAATATTTTTCATATCGTAAGTCATTCGCGGATAGTATTAAATTACGATCTGCTTCTTACAAAATTGAATGCATTGCGGCTAAAAATTAATTTATTCCTCCAACAACTTTCTATAACAGGCGGGATGTTGCTATTTTGCCTGTGTTATAAAAAAAAATCTATTTCACAAGTATTTTATCGTTTATCATTTCATTTTACGAGAGTAATATTTCAGGAATATCATACCCGCGCATCTTCTCGCCGCAACGTATATAAATTGCACTCGCGCAAATTAAATGCTCGTTCATAATTAAGCGATAGGTTACGACAATGGTGTGCGCGGTTCTAATAATAAATAATTATAGATATACATATACGCGGAATGTGAATATGATATATACGTAACAGCTCTGTCCTCGTTAGGCGTGCTCATTACGCATTTAGATATCATCTTAATGTGACGGGGAGATGAAAATATAATTATCCGGTGGCGCTTTATGTTGCGGGGGACGGTTACACATGCGAGATACGCGAGCTAGGTCATCCTCTTATGGATTTGCACGTGAAAAATTAAAGTAGCAAATTGATGAGACGACCTGCACGAACGTACGCGCCACGTACTACAACCATGCACGTGCATCGCGGAAGCCCAAACACTTGTGCACGACGAACGTACGTTGGTGTACGTTAATTCGAAGCGGTCAGTTAATTAAAGTAATCGAGATAGTACGCGGCGCTCTATAATTAGTAGTTGGCGGCCAACGCGATAATACGATCTCGGATCGGCTTGCGATCGCCCATCTAACGAGGCTCTGTGTGAGGCTTTACACGATATTTCGAGTACGAGGAAAAAGATAGCAAACGAGAAAACCGAAGCAAGGTCGCGTACAAAATCACGCAGCACTTGTATCGTATTCTCGCGTGAGATTTGTGCCAAGAATATCTTAGGAATTTTTCTCCACAGTTTTCTTCCGTTATTAATATATTTGTTCACATTAATACGAGTTGTATCGCCAAATTATTATTTTGAAAACTGTTGCGTGATATAGAGGAAAGTCCCCTATTATGAGATAGGCTCCTAATGCCAGATAGCAGAGTTTCTGCTAAATTGATAGGCATCGTCTGCTGGTTCTATCACTTATTGTCCTTGCAGTGAAATCCGTTTAGCGGAAAATTGACTGTTAGATCGTGGCGAGAAAGATTTGCGATTTGGACGTCGAAAACTTACTATCTCGTATTAGAATCCTATCTCATAATTAAGACGGGAAACTAATAGTCAACCCAACTGGCTAATTATTTAATCAATTTATTACACAACGTTTCGACCCTATTTTTTGGGTCCTTTTCGAGCGATACTGCAAATCAACAATAACGACGTAACAACGAAAGAGCGTAAGTCGCCAGTAGTTTATTATCGGTAGAAAGAATTGTTCAACGACGTTAGGCTGGCAGATGCCTTTATTAGTTAGATTCCAACGTTTCGATCATACGGATTGTGGTCCTTTTCAAGGAAATAGATGTTAAATAATAAATTATCAAAGATATATCAGAGGAACGGTCTACAATCCATCCTTGGGTGTCATTCGGAGAAAGGTGTTCGAAGGCACGTCAATCCGACGTAACGACCAAAGTAGGACTGTAGCGACGTAGTTATGAACATTAATAACGACGTAGTTATGAACAATGTAGGTTAATAAATAAATAAATAAAAAATCTATCTCAGAGGATTTTCCAACAATAGTCCCTCTAAAAGTTAATCAGTGGGTTATCACTGAAAACAGTGAATAGTCACTGGCTTACAGTTACAAGTATACCACTGCAATTTCCAGTAGTATACTTATAACTGCGAATCCGCGAGAGTATTCACTGACTGGCTTTTAAAGAGATTTTATAACACAAATCCTCGTCGGATAAATTGTTATGATTTCTTTGTATAATAATTAATTGTGATTTTGTAAAAAGAAATGCAAATTGTTTCCGTCTAGCTGACGCTATCGAATGGCTTAGCTACCGATAACCTGCTAGCAAGATGCGGACGGCGATTAATATACGAATTTCTCCGAGGCTGAAACTAATCAATTCCCTAAAATAAATATTACAGAAAATTGCTCAAGTTATAAATCAAGCGTGTGTTCCGATGTCAAGATGAAGACATTGACGAAAAGTTAGGTTGTGAGTTTTGGAGAGATTATAAAAAAAATGTTTCCATCCCAGTGGCTCGCGCACCGCATTGTTGCTATTACGCGGATACTTACGGGTTATACGGCGGATAAAGCATTCTGGGTGCACGGGAGTACATGTGCGAGCATACCGTAGAACGCAGCCGAGGTGCACGGACACCGGAAGTTCATACTTATTCACTGAGCACCGAAAGGGCGACCGGGTATAATTTACGTATAAATTAAGCAGAATGAATCAACGGCAGGCGATTAATAGCAATGGCTCACCCACGATAATAGCAGTGCCCCGCTCGCCTGTTTACGAGCGTTAAACGAATACATTACGTTTTTCATTATTTCGCCACGTGGACACAATATTGCTATCTCCACCTTTTTCTGATGCCTAGCCTCTCCTGGTACAAACGTCTCCTCCGCTTTGATATGCACATTGTATATGCAATCGTGATAATTATAGAGCGATTTACCAGCGGAAGGCGATTGTGTGAAGCGATAAAAGAACCGGCGGTTGTATTGTACAATAATGTATAAATAAACGATAAATGTATCTTCATTAGTAAACACAACTATACACACGAGTAAAGAGAGTGAAAACGGAGAAGTGAGAGGAATATTCAGCAACAAATACTTCGAAATAAATAAATGAAATAATAATACACAAAATAGATCTGTGCTTGTCATTTTGCGGACTAAAATTATTTCGAAGTAATGCAGAAATTTATCTAGTAATCAAAGTGTTTTCGCTCTAACGAACGATTTACAAATCAGTAAAATTTCTTGTTGGAAAATTTTCTCCCTAGCATCGCGGAATCTTGGACCGACTTAATCAATCTGTAGAGCTTCACAAAGCAATTTAAAGTAGTGAATATAAGTTAATTCGTGTGTTATATGAAAACGATATATCGATGGGAACCGTGAGAAGTGGCACCGTTTATGAAAACGCGATTCCCATGCTCTAGCGTTGGTCAGAGTAGCGTGTACCGCGGAGGGGAAAGAGAATGGAACGATGTGAGGGCAGGCGGATTGCACGAAGTAAACAGGCCGTGAAATTACCTTTTAAATATTAGATTATGATTAAATGTGTACCTACCTCCGAGGCACTAGAGATGTTCAGCGCCACCCTATGCGCAGTTCATAAAGCCGATGGGGGTGGTTTATGGCGGATGAGACTCGAACCACCCCTCTTCAGGCTATATCAAGATATCAATCAGCTCTTGGCATCAGATAAGATTGGTTGCTCAGGAAGTGAGTGCTTTTCAAAAGCTGGATGAGGTTCCTCGTGTTTTAGCGGACTATCTGTACGCGGAGATTTTTATAAATAAACTGTCCACAAACACAATAATAATAGTACAAAAGTCCTTTCTTTCACACAGAATTGCAAATCAGCAACTCGAAAAATTCACGAAGTAAACGTACGAAGTAACATGACGCGAAAATAATCTTTATAATAAATGTTTTCAAACGTTCTTCTTTATTATAAAGACCGTATGTTTCCACGTTTATTGAGAAGGTATTGTGTCTTATTTATATGCAACACTAAAACAAATGATCGATAAAAAATGACGCAGCAAATGACTATAAAAAGTGTAAATATAATGATCGTGAGTGTTGCTTTTAAAGAATCCCCTAGTAGATAGATAGATAGATAGAAAATGTAATGATTTAAATTAATTTATTTAATATAATACACAGGTTTACTTCAAATTTGATATTTTTACTTAAATAGAATAAGTATTTACTTCAGTAAAAAAAATAATTTGAAGTAAATCTATTTACTTGCTTCTAAACAATGTTTCGTCAGTGTAGGGGCTCGATTAATTTAGCAAATTCGCTTATATTTCCGGCACTATCAATGACATTTATCACTCGCGCATTATTTCGGTAGTTATCACGATGTGCGAAAAATTCTCCTGTCCAACCTGAAACTTCTTACGTCGCTCATAAACAACCGCACGAGAGCAACAGAGACGTCCCAGTGTCGGTCAATAAACCTTCCTGTCACGGCTGCGCTCGATACTGCCATATATACGCGTAAGCTATAACAATGTTCGGCTTTGTTAGTACCTAATTGGACGTCGTTAGCGCGGACCGGGCCATAAACGTTCGTAGTGACACCTTCGGCGATAAATTTCCCTGTACTTCTCCGTTAAAGAAATTAAAGACCCAACACCAACACGTGGACGCACCAGTACTCAGGCCGTAAAGGCCGATCGTGACGAGCAGGTGTTTGTATCCGGTCTCTCGTGACCGGTGGCCAACGTTCCGTTCCGCATCCATCCGCCCGCGTGCGCATACGATATGCATATATATGCATAAAAAGAACGTGTAATGCCCAGTGGGTATTGTACGCCCCCGCCGCAGCTCGCAATTCGTCGAAAACTTTCCGGCGGCGTAAGCATATGCATTGCTCACTTAACAAGATTGATATAACGAGATATATGCGCGCGCGCGAGAGAGCGTCCGACCGTGCGTGTGCATCCGCAATTACGCGCGACAGAGAGGATACGTAACAGATAATTAATGCAAACGAAGGGTCGCCTCGGGAAATTTCGGCCCGGAATCTACCGGAAAGGTGCGAAGTGGAATGCGGCAGCTTGGAAAAATATTCACGAAATCGACGTGTTTCCGCAGGAGCCGCGCAACGTAAAGTAGATTATTTGTGCGTCCTAATAACATCCCGAGATAATTCAAAGATTACTTGGACTTGGACATTTATGACGTCCGGCTTGAACTATATTGGTTTTCCTATTTTATATTGATTTATAAAAACAAAACAATATAAATGGTAGTAGCGAATTTCTTATTATCTCATTAACACCTTTATCACTTGTCGTGTCGCCGTACCTGTGCGCGCGAAATCTCAGGCCTGTCATTTGTGAAATGTAATCGCTTGTTGTTTAAAAGCTATTATAGCCTCGACATTTTTGTATTAGAATTTTTGTCTTGAAAGTTTCTAGAGAATTTATGATTAAAAGAGGATATCCGGTGGTTTTAGTACGCCCTGTATAAAATTTAAAGGTGTAAGAATATAATCGTTATATATAATCTTACGGTAATCATAGAATTATAAGGCAAATGAAAATATTTTAAAGAGATTGTCGATAACGAAACTTAACGATCGTTACTCTATACTGTTTTCCAGTATCTCCTATGATAACTGGAAACTCTTGTCTGCATAATATAAGGCGTACGATAGCGTTGCATTGGCCGGCAAGTAGCTGCCGCCAACTAAATTCGCATCTTGCCATTCCGTTTAAGGGCAACCAAGAAGTTCGAAATCTCCGGGGAGAGTTTGCCGACTAAAACCAACCCCTACCGGTTGCTCGAGGGGTTGCACCACAATACAAGCAATAACACGTACCGACCTTCGTTCTCCACTTCCTATCCCCCTCACCCTGCAATCTCACTGTCGCCCCGTGCACGCACCCTCCCTCTCTTACCTTAATCGATGAAGGATGATTTGGTCTTAAATAAACTTTTCACCTCCGCCGACATAGACCGCATCCCCTTCTTCGACCCTCCGCTATTTGTCACATAAATTGTCGAGTGGTCACTTTGATTATAGACTACCCTGCGTAATCCGGCTCTTCTTGGATTCCCCTCTTGAGATAACAACTATATGCGATGTGTTTATAGAAAAGGGGGCTACAATTTTTCGGTTCTGTCCGCCATGAGATATGAAAAGGAGAGAAGAAATTCAGTCTTTAATCTTAAAAACAAACGTACAATCTTAAGATAGAGTAAAGTTCTTGACTCGGACCAAACAGTTGTTGGTACGAGAGTGAAATATGCCTATATGTCGCGAAAGAAATTACAATGCTTACTCGAGAGATCACGAGGCACGCCTTTGCGTGAATCTCGAGGTTACAAGGACTCCTGGAACGGACAAAAGATCGAGGGAGGTGGAGTTGCAACGCGAGGCGAGACGGTATTATCCCGTCGAGATGAACGGAAACGTTGGATACGGAGTGTACACCGACATCCGGCCACGTGTCTCCTCCGAGACGGGCCAATGGAGGCTGCGATGCCGCGGGAAGGACCAACCTGGCGCGAGGACTCAAGAAAAGGTACGTAGTCTTGGCGGCACGCGCCACGGCGACTGGGAATTATTCAAATGGAATTCACAAAGCGAGCCAGCTGCCTTCGCCTCGACTGAGATCCGAGTACTGGGGGGGAAACGACCAAGGAGGCCATACGCTGTACATGAGGCTTTTTTATGTCGCTCGTCAGTTCGTCCCCGCCCTCTATTTGCCCGACAATTTGACACCGATTTACAGCTCCGTCCGAGTCAAATCGCGGGCATGCCGGAAATAATACGGCCGTAGACGCTGAAATTCGATGCGATTCGCAGAAAATCAGTTATACCTAATTTCACTGGTCGACCGGACTTCTGCAAACACCGATTTAATTTCTATAATATTAATTGCGAATACGATAATAAAAAGGGTTGATTATTTACTCTACTAATTCCCTGCGTCGTTTAATTATTTACTGGCGACAATGAGTCTTTAGTCTTGTAAATAAAAAACTCTCACAATGACATCCTCTTATTACAACTCGATAGTTTGTAAAACGTGTATACATAAATAGACGGCACTGCATCACATTGCAGTGAATTTTTATTTTCATGGAATAAAAGAGCCTTCAATAACTTGTGTAACCATTAATGTGTGTGAACTCTTTTTCTACACTAATTCTATTGATAAATTCACTTGTTTACGTTTTAATATTTTAATTTTTACTAGATTTAATTGTTTCTTTTATTTGGTCGGAGCTACTTTCGGGAATTTAAATATAAAAACGCGCTTTACGATACGGAAAGAATCTCTATATTCAAAACTAAATCGTATATGTCGATACGCAGAAATATAACGTGCTACGAATATTTTACTGTCTCATTTTCGTATTTGCTATGCGAATTACTTAAAATTCTATTTTATTCGTGTTATCAAAACAAATTAAATTGTTATCGACGAAAGTTATGGAAATGTGTCTTTTGTGGCCAATTTAGGGCCAGTTTCACAAACATCGGTTAACTGTTAACCAGAGTTCAGTTAACTCCCTATCTTTTTCTATCTTATTATCTAAGAAGAGACAGAGTATCAATTAACCTTCGGTTAGCAGTTAACCGACGTTTGTGAAACTCGCCCTTAATGTATAAAGGGTTTTACCGATATCAGATATATTGTATATACGAATATGTAAGGCTATGAAATTGTATTAATTTAATTTTAATACTCTTTCACTGACATCTTGAACCACGCGAAACAAAAGTGTCAATGAGATAAAGACCCCTTGGTAAAAATTCGTTGGTAACTTGCAATTTTGCATTAGATGTCACAATTTATTCGACAGTTCCCTCTATGGTGTATTTCGGTTCCAATCATTTCTGCAGAATTTCTTCGGTGTTCCAACCGACGGCGTAGCCCGAGGGGTTAAATTGTGACATTTAACGTGTAATATCCTATATAATCTTGTATGAAAAGCGCCGTGCAGTGGTTTGCGATAGAATAAAGCCGCTGTGGTAGTAAGGGTGGTTTCTCAGGGGCGGTTAGAAGGACGGTTAAAGGCATTGAGCCGTCCGAGCCACTCGCGAGAGTTCCAAGCTTCTGAGACCGACGGCAGAAACCCCCGGGGGTTGGGGGTGGCAGATGGCAGCCATCGGACCAGTTCTTTCTGGCACTTTGCCCCGCCAGTTTCACCCGATACTTACTTTAGAAAAGAGTAAGAGATTAAGTGCCCGGGGACGTCGGAGTGTCATTGCGGCGATGATTAACGTCTCTTCGTTAAAGAACGTTTCCGAAATGACCGGAATCTTTAAAAGAATGTTCTAAGAAAGGCGCAGGTCCGTGATGCAAGCTTGTTTATATAATTTTTTACTCTGTATCACTAATTGTAAGTGATTCCTTTTCTTCAAAAAATAAGATATTTATATCACGTAAAAATAAATAATTTGTCATATACATACATACGTATACATATATATGTTTAATAATTTATCACATGTATAGGTGTGTGCGTATACAATAATTATTTAATAGACATAATATTTATTCTTTCTGAAAATTCTTTAAATATTATGCTGGTAGGCTGTGAAAGAAACATAAAGCTTTCGTTATTTTTACTTACGTGCTACGCGAGATGCTATTCTATTTTATTGAAATTGTTTCGTGCTACCACGATTACGCACTATCAAGTTTGATGGCGGAAACTCGGCGTGGATGTGAATGGTCGCACGCAAATATCGTCACGCAAATATCGACTATTGCTTCCTTATCAGATATCAGTTATCAGTTATGCGCTTGATTTGGGGTGCGTGCAGCCTATTACGTCGGCGATCCATTGATAAGCACGTCAAATCCGCCAGTAACACACTCCTCGGCAACTAAGCCGTGCTATTGAGGGTCCCCACCGACTATCCAAATCGATCATCGAACACCTTCCAAGATTGAAGTATCCTCGATTCAACCTGTCTTCTGTCGAGTTCCGACCACTCGCCCTTTCTTCGTTCGCCCATCACGAAATAAAGGATTACGAGCTTTGCCTTGAGCTCTTGCGCCTTATTAAACCGAACAATGAAAGACCACAGCAACATTTTCGATTCCTATAGCAGTAAATTTATCAGTTATATGAATAGAGGAAAGTCTCCTATTATGAGATAGGATCCTAATATGCGATAGCGGGATTTTTAGTTAAATTGAGTTAAATCTGTTTAGTGGAAAATTCATCGTTAGATCGCATAATCGTTGCGGAAAAAGATTTGTGATTGAATTTGAGCGTCGGAAACCTGCTATCTCCTATTAGAAATCTATCTCATAATAGAGGACTTTCCTCTATTAGTAGCAAAGCATGTGGAAGATAACAGAAATAAAAGACAAAGATTTTAAACATTTAGCATATTAATAATACACTATGAAAAGATTATAACAATGTGACTTAAGAATCGAGAGAGAGAGAGAGAGAGGGGGGAGGGGCAGGGGGGAGGGGCAGGGGGGAGGAGTGGGAGGGAGAATCATTATTTGTGTTTCAAATTGTGTGGAGGAAAGTAATTTAAGAGTGATTCCACATATATTTTAAAATATACTTTGTGGCTGCGGATTGCATTAATCACAATTATCTGCAACACATCACAATGGAACCAGGTTTAAGTTGACCTGAAAGTGCTTGTTACACCGTTAGTGAAGACACTTTATAATAACAGCATATTTTTTCTACGTTGATTCGTGGAAAGTAATCGCCAATCGAACTTGCCTATATACATTCGACAATTGGGAGCGCCGTTCGTTTGTCTTAATGTCAGATCGGACGTTCTCTCCTGATCTGTACCGATGGCAATAGGCACGCGCCACTCAAGGAGTCCCCTATTCATCTTATCGTGATTCCCGAAGACGTGTATAAGTATATCATACGAGGCAAATGGCACGCGAGACTTCCGGCAC